GTAGACGACATCTACGGCGGAGCAGACTCACTTTGGTTGACACTTTGGGTGTCATCGTTCCAGTCGTCCTCCAGGGGAAAACACTCCTCCAGGATGTCTGGAAACTCAAGAGTAACTGGGCTGCTCCCCTCCTCGCGGAATACACTCAACGATGGGAGTCATTTCGCCGGGAACTCAGCAAATTGGATGTCGTTGCAGTACCCCAATAGCTCAAGCTATCAGCTCAGACAACCAACATCCAATTACATGCATTTGCAGATGCCTCAATAGTAGCCATGAGTGCGGTGGTCTACATCCGCACGCAGACAATCAACGAACCAGCATCAACAATCGTGGTCTGCGCAAAGTGGCACCAATCAAGCGCATGGCGATTCCACGTCTGGAGCTTACTCAAGCTCTCCTACTAACGCAACGGGTAGCGTCAACATAGCAGATGCTTCAACTAGAGCAAGTAGAAACTCACCTTTGGTCAGACTCAGCAGTAACACTCCCATGAATTAGGAGCTCGGCCTCAAGATGGAAGGACTTCGTCCACAACAGAGTGGTAAAAATACAAGAAACTCTCCCAAATGCCACTTGGAGACATGTCAGTGGAAAAGAGAATTCAGCCGACTATGCGTCCAAAGTGAGCTAGCAGAATACCATCTATGGTGGACAGGACCTAATTGGATAAATCAGGACCGTGGAAACTGGTCTCAATCAATGATCGATGCTCCACCAATGGACATCCCAAACGTCGCCAAGGAGGCGAAACCAGTAAAGGTACATCTAGTTGCATAGAGGATCAACGCGATTTCAGAGCTCCTCACCGGATAGAGCACGATGGTGACGCTGTTGGTACTCACAGTTACCATCAACAGAGTAATCGACAGATTGAAGAGGCAGCCCACGCACTAGCATCTATCTTGATGACCAGAGAGCGCGACGACGCAAAATTATTTATATCAGTACTATGTTTCAGCTCTCAGGGTACTGGACAGAAAGCCCCAGTTACCCAGAAAGCATCAGTTTGAAAAGTTCACACTAACGCTGGACCAGGAGGGCATCGTGAAACTTGGGGGACGCCTCAATAACTCAGAACTGCACCCAGACGAGATTCGCCCAATAATCTTGCCACGTCAGTCCAGATTCACCACACCCGTCATCGCAGAAGCTCACCAGAAGATCCTCCAGGGAGGGAGTCAAATCACCTTGGCCCATACTCGCCAGCCGTGTTGGATACTCGGTGGCCGAGGCACAGTTACGGTTTACATGCTACGCTGTGCCATCTGCGCCAGACACCGAGCCAGGCAAGATCAGCAACAGATGGGTCAACTACCACTTGCGAGAATATAGCCAGTGGATTACACAGGACCTTTCGAAATCCTCAAGTGGATACCCACTAATGCTCAGGCAGGATCAGTGCACACCGCAGTGTTTGTATCCTTCACCACCTCAGCAGTCCACCTAGAGCTCGTCAACAGGCAAACCAGAGAAGCCTTCCTCGGAGCCTACAAGAGATTCACCGGAAGGTGGGGCATTCAAGCTGTCATGTACAGTGACAATGCCACCACCCTCGTCGGAGCAGCAGAGCAACTCAACAGGATCTACCATCAGACACCAAAGGAAAATCAACATATCCAGGCTGCTCACCACCAATGGAAGCAATGGCGCTTTTCACCACAAAGAGCACCCCATTTTGGTGGCAAATGGAAGGTTCACCTCAAGAGAGTCCTAGGAACATCAATATTGACGTTTGAGGAACTCAACACAATTTTAGTTCAGTTTGAAGCCTGTCTAAACTCCAAGCCAATCAGTCCCATCTCAGACGACCCAGAAGATCTACAAGTCCTTACCCCATCGCACTTCTTGCTCGAGGAGCCTCTTCAGGTTATACCAAAGTCCTCCTACGTCGACAAGAATCCCCGCAAGATAAGGAGATGGAACTTGGTGACGCAGAAAGTTCAACAGTTTTGGTCCAGGTGGTCTAAGAAGTGTCTCCAGAGATATCAGGCCATCTACAAATGGAAGACATGTCAGCAGAACATCGAAATTGGCTACATGATGCCGATTGTCGATGAAAATCGTCCACCAGCCCTGTGGTCAATCGCCAGAGTCATCGCGACCAGACCAGGAACAGATGGGCTTACCAAAGTAGCCACAATCAGAACAAACAGGCCAGAAATCGGTAGACATCCAAACGGGTCACTAAACTCTAAGAACATCACGACAGCTCACTCAGTGTTAGACAGACCCATCACCAAACTCCGCCTACTTCCAACAGACCAACCGGACCGGAACAACCTCCAGAAAAAGATCAACCAGAAGATGAACCCAGAAGGGCATCCAGAAGTTGCTGGACTGAGAGCTAAGTATTATTTTCCATATACAATGATCAATGGGATCAATGATACAATGGGACGTGATACTGTTCTCACCGTGTCTTTCTCCCCTTAGCACTCAACAGAAGAACCAGAGCCAGTGATTGAACAACCCTGATGTTGAATGTCCCCGGCGTGTTTGAAACGCAGCCTAATTTGACGATTTAGTGATAGGGTGGATCGGCCACCTTCGATAATCACCGGAAAACCTCGGGTCATCGGTCAGGCCCACTCAATCAGCGAAATTGTCACGTCAGTCAGTTATCCACGAGTATTCATAGCACTCAGTCTACTTTCGTGCAATAAGAAAAGTTCTTCGCCTCCAGTCGCGACAGTACATCAGCGTTCGAGGTGTTCAAATTAGTACATCTCCCTTCGAAGTTAATCCAGTACGGTCACCAGCTTATGCTAATTACTAGTTACAGTGAATTCACCGAGAGCGTTACATTTAAGTTCCTCAGTTTTGGAACAAATGATAGAGTTCAAACGATAAGGCGGTTCGATTCCGCCGGAATAAGCGACGAACTTCAAAATTCAATGCCTCAACCCCCAGGGTTGATCTACATACACTTGTAGAGAGATTTTTCATTGACCGCGTCGCCATCATGCAAATCGAGTAGCGAGAGTGTGATAACGGGGTTGAAATTTATAGGCACCAATAGACTCAGAATCATTTTCCTAATCAATCAATATATACAGACATTTTCTATGATCCCGTTGGTTATTTTGGAAATGGATTGATGAGGGTGCAACAATGGGGTTGAAAATGATTGATACCGATGGACTCAGAAGTAAATCTACATGCATTTGTGTCCTCATTTTTCCAATAACTTGGTGTCTCGCCGAAATCCACCTCTCTCCATAACCTGCATACTGAGCAACCCAGGACAGTTACCTTTCTCCGTAAGCCTACTTTCCCTTTCCTTCCCCTTTTGGTCTTGTTTTTTCTTTATTGTCGTGCTTTTCGAGATGGGAGAAGTTTAGAGTTACTAATTTTCCGGTTTGGTAATTCCAGCTAAAAATTACTTGGCGCCCATTACTTTGATTTACCCGATTTAATAAGGCTTAGGGGAAGTAGGGCGGAGGGAGCACACGTTTTCAACCCCCTAAGAAAATGTTACGTTACGCATTAAAAAAAAATATTTTAAATTAAATTGTTTTTTTTTTATATCCGGAATTTATCATTATCTTCGGGTTAAGTATGACAAGAAGGAATATTCTAATGATTTTCTCATTATTCAGAACCGGAGGGCAAAAATCTACTCTTTGTGAATGTTTTTAGTAGACACCGTAGTGGTGTGAGTTAGTCGATAGACACATACACGATTGTGTGAATCACAATGGGAAAGTTTGTTGAAAATTCTTGAAAATTTCCTATGATGAGGTATGTGATTTGGAAATATCCTTCATTGCTTTGGTTTGAAAATTGTTTTGAATTCAACGGTCCGATGTAGCCGTTCTTCAATCCTAAATATTTAATTGCCAAGAGAGAACTTAGTGCGGAAATTCAACTTGAGGCGTGAATTGAACTCATGATCTAACCACCCGATTTAGCTCTTTTTCAATTCTGCACATTCCATTACTAAGCGGAAACGTGATTCTGAATTTTAAGTCGATGAGTAAATTTTTCGTAACGTTACCGTATTAACAAATTTTTTCACAACAAAGGAGAAAATCACAATAATAGGAGAGATTAGTATGGATGGGTATACTTATTTTGATCAATTGAGATGGCGACAAATATTTGGAGAGGTGAAATATGGAAAGAGCTAGTTCTCGAGATATTCAAGGAAGCCGATTTTGATATAAAGTGGAATATCTCATGACCTAATGGTCTGATTCTGCGGTTCTTTAATACTAACTTTATTTTTTTTTTGAGGAAACAGAAAAATAGGAATATCTCGAAATCTTAGTGAGAACGGATATACATACTTTGATTGACTCAGATAGACACCGAGTACACTGAGACGAATATTGTGAGATGCAAAAAATTGAAGTCGATGGGATATTTTTCGAGATATTTGCGAAAAACGATTCAGAGCCCAATCGCAATTTATGGAAAACGGCTCCACCAATCGAGCTGAGTTTTGGTGTAGAGTTAATCCTTAGTAATATCTATGATTTGACGAAATTGGATCTTTCTCGGAAAGACTTTTGCGCGTTTACTCCTTTAGTTTTCTAAAAGAGTGGGTGAATTTGACCTTGCGCACATACACACACGTTGCTCAAATGTTGTATTTTTCCGTTTAGAACTATTTTACATAATTTCCAAGCAAAATTAGGAAATTTGAAAACCCGACGATTACAAAGCTTCCGGTCGGAAGCAAAAAATGAATGATAAAAAAGAGGAATGAAAACGTAATAATATAACATAATAAATAATACATTTGTTTAATAATAAAAAAAGTTATTCAAAGAAAATTTGACAAGCTCTCTTCGTAACGCCTGTCTCACGCCTCGCGCAGCACTAGCTCTGTTGGATTGTCAGGCAATGTCAACATAAATATGTAAATAAATAAATAAATACAAATAAATAAATAAATTGCAATAAATTTAGTGTCATGGCGGAAGATGAAGCTCCTAAAAACGTTAACTTGCGACTTCTAGAAGCCTGAAGAATTATTCATATTTACTTTCCAGCTCTACTTGAGCCTTGAGTGAGCCGTGGTGATCTCCACATCATCATTGTTAGCCTCAGACAAGCCCGCAAATCTCTCATTTGGGCTGACCTTGTTGCCCACCCTGAAATGAGACTTCAGTGAACGATGAAGATAAGTCTAAACCAGCACTGAATTACTCAGCCTAAGTATACTAAAGCTTCTACAGCTCTGTTCTCATCATCAGCCTTTAAGATTCTTAGCTTCACTAGACGAGGCCTTAGCCAATCCTGAATATAAGATTAGGGATATACAAGGTTCGTTAAAGGATGACCTTATCGCCGAGCCTCTGAATTCCTACCTGCGTTAGATAATTCCCAAAGATTGTTATTGAGTTTTGTAATCAAACTATCGCTATTGCAAATACCACGTTCAACAACATTTTCAATTTTCTTAGAAAAGTCCAATTCATTCATCATAAGAATGTGATTCACTTCATTTGTTTCCAATTTTCGAGTGCCGAGCAGCTATTACATTGATGTCTATTGATGCAATCTTTACGTATATTTTCGACTTTTTCTCTAGTTTTGATTAAATTCCTCAGGTTGGGTGACATTCTCTCTTCCTAACGGGTCATTATAATACTCGATTTTTATTACAGAACTGTTCACATTTAGATAAGGATTATACTATCTAATTGCCTTATGCACCCTACTGTCACCATGAACTACTATGTGGGAATATATCAAACCGTCCTGCTCCAAGCTCCTGTTAAATCCAACCAAAATTGCTTCAGCTTCATGCCAGTTGAGCAGGCATAAAAATTTTTAAAGCATCTGTCTGCCTGATGATTATGTCGCAAATTATTACGTCGCGAGCACATAGAGTAGTAGACTGGTAAATGTCAATGCATAACACTCATTTTGAACAGTTGCTCACAATTGCGACGCTCGAAAGAGAATTGTGTGCACTGGTGATATATGATATCATTGCATCGGTTCCATTACAAACACCTCAGAGTATCATCGATCGTCAGGTTTAAGCTGCATTAAGAGCGGCGAATTTAAAATTTTCTTCGGTACCTACCTGTCTCTCTTAGAATAACTTAATATTGTGAACTTTACATATCACATTCTCTATGTAGTCATGAAAGATATTGTGAAGTTCGGTGAATATTCAGTAGATTCCCACAAACACTCTGGGTTTAATCCAGGTCGCACGTTCACAAGTGGAGAAATTTAAATGAAAAAGTTAAATACCTCAAGTTCAGGATCAATGATTTGGATGACCTGAGGTTGTATTCGCCTGCATATATATGTTCAAGAGATACATTACTCCCTAATAAATCAAGATACTTGCCAAATGTTGCTTTTCTAAATTTTAATACCAAATCATCTGAAAACTGAAACATTCTATCTTCTAACGTTGCTATCAGTTCCTCCGTACTCATTGCTTTTATATTCACTCTGTCATCGATGATCTGGTCGATCGCAACCGACCATGTACAAACTGACCTGTGAATTCGTTAAGTCCCTGAAGTCCTTTTTCCTACTTCGAGCACGACGACCTGACCATGGTAATTTTTGCATATCTTACATGATTTCTGGAATGAAAACTGGAGCTCAGCCGTTTGAGTTATCTGTGACTCCTTCTCTTCTATTGCAACACTTGTCGATGAACTCTTATCATCAGTGCATCAGTCAAAATGTACTTTTGCTTAAAATCAAGAAAGTTGGATTATACTCCATATCGACAATTAATCAATAGAGTTTGGGTGACCTCGAAATCAATCAGATTTGAGAGCACTTGACCCAGAAAATCGCTGCCAGGTCAGCAGTTACGATCGCGATTTCAAGTATAGACATGTTCTCCGTGTTGATAAAATAAACGCTCATAGCTTTTGCGAGTCCATTAATGGGTTTAATATTAAATTTAATTGTCACCTTCATTGGCGTTCAGTTTTCTAGTTATTCAATACCTTATAGCCAATTACTAGTTCACCAAACAACCTCCCATTGCATAACATCTAATATAATTAATTACCTCTTGTAACTATGAATAGATGATGAAAACTACGAAAAAATCGATTTTCCTTAGAATCACAGATACTGTTTCAAAATGATCAGAATGTTGTGCTTGAGATGGTCGTGTGGGTGTCAAATAATTTCCCCATTACGAGGACACGCAATAGCTACATGGACCATCGATAACTATTTAGAAAACATCATAGAGGGAGAATTATAAGAGGCACCATTATCAATGAATTATGGTGATTCAACATCATCATAATCTCTGGAAAGCCTGAAAATGAATGGACCATTGAAGGAAGTTACACGTTAATTTTTCGTAATTACACGACAGGATAACGAATTACGTTTTTTTTCGCCAAATGAAATCATTTTTCATTCTGTGCACAAGCCTTATCTAGGAACGATTTTTTTCCGGTACGAAAAAAAATCATTTTCTTCAATTTTTTCTACAACTCATTTGTCGATTTATGGAAAAAAAATTCACGAAGGATAGCTAACTTAATCATAATAGAATAACAAACAAAAACAAAGCGTGTATTAGTTGGACTCCAAATTTGGAGTCCAAAATCAGGCGGCGTGGATTACGCATACAACCGGAATGCCACGCGGTCATTTTATGTCATTTTAACTGTCTTCTTTTTCCGTCAAATAAATCGGGAAATTTCATTAATTTGCCTGAGATTTCGATAGTTTTTTTATAATCTCTTTCCTTTGTACATCTAAATTATTCAGTATTGTCCGTTTTGCAATTTTATGTCTGACCATTTTTTTCTTTAGTTTCAGGAAGAGGTGATTGGAGAGTCCTTGGTTATGGCGTCATATCATTTTTTTCGATTCTCTTAGCAATTCAGAAAGTTCTAACTCACTCGTTTGACGTCCCGATGAGTATGAATTTTCCATCGCTAATTGCAATGGGAAGCATGATACTTTTGTTAATAAATATATCAGTTGGAATGTTCGATAAACGCTTCTTCAGTGGGGCTATGATCACCACCGCTCTGATGCTGAAAAAACTAATGAGATCTCCTCATCAATTTCTCATCCCCAGTGCATTGATTTTGGCAGTTTTTCCGATCCTCCCGCCACTTAAGCCTCAGCCTAATGTAATTATGATGTACGTTATCACAGATATAAACAATATCAGTCAACTGACTGAGATTGTTTCTGTTGACAGTATTATTTGCCTCCCTATTATTAAAAATGTAAACATTAATATAGTCCTTATTTATCTCTTCCAGATTTCTACCGTTCGTGGTAACTCCGTTTTTCCTCCCCAAAGTCGCCAAAAATGTATTAACCTTCGAAATGATAAGGATTTGTCTGACAGCATTGATAATTGCCGAAATAATTGATGGTAGAAGTGGACTTTCTTGGTTTATTCTAATTACCAGTCCACTCTCTATTTTTCTCTACCCAGTCAGACCAAAAGCGCTCAGACTAACAGGGGTAATCTACGGTCTTCTGTGCCCCTTGGCGCTCCTATCAGCTGCATATGAACCGCAAGTTTTCTGCCTTCTGGGTGTTCATTTGATCTCAATACTAAAAACAATTGAGGACCAAGAGGAACCACTGAGCATCAGAAAACTTCAGGAGCGAAGTCTGGATTTTCAAGATATGACAACAGCGGCCTACTTTATGCTTTACATTTTATTATCATTTTTTGGGACCGGAAATATAGCCAGCATCAGTTCATTCGATCCCATGTGGACTCGACACTTTATTACTATTTTTTCACCTTTTACTATGACTTTCTTAATTCTCCTTAAATTAGGGATACCTTTAATACTTATAGGGTGTACCAGTCGTATTCTAACTTCCTCGTCTACATTTCTAGCAGTACTACTCTTGGGTGATTGCCTATCACTACCTCTCATGTACAGTGTAAGTTCCCATGGAAGTTGGCTCGATATTGGTACTGCTATAAGTCGATACAGCATTTCTATCACTTTACCTTGCCTTTTCGTAATTCTTTACTATATGTCAAGTCCATTGATGGTATGTCACCTCACACCACGATGGCCGATTTCATTCCCGAAGGACCATTTCACTTAGCTGTATCATTAAAGTAACAAAGTGATAACATATTTTTATAAAGAAAAAAAATACGGGTGAGAGGGAGAGGTTATAGGTTTATCTAGTAAGAAAATTCAAAAAAATGTCATCATAGTTATTTGTAGATAATAACTTTTTCGATAGTTTTTGATTCACAATGTTTATTAGTGATGTTCTTTTCAATATGTATTGCTTTAATATCACACTGTTTGATGGGAAAATTGCTCGAGTTTTTATTTTGTGTTCTGTCCTAGCTCTGCATTTTTGGATCTCCAACGCTCTGCTGAACTCTTCTAAGAAAACAGTGCCATAGGGAGCTGGATGGAGCGGATCTTCATGCCTATCAAGAGAATCGATCAGTTTAGACTTGCGAATATACCCACTTTTATAACCACATAGTAACTATAGTTACTATATAAACTTCCCTTCTATGATGTAAAAATGTTTGCCGTATGAAGGACGGCGGTGCTCCATATATAGGCAAGAAAAGTGAATAGAAGAAATGGCTAGGAGCCGGATAGCTCAGTTGGGAGAGCACCCGATGCATAATCGGAAGGTCCCGGGTTCAAGTCCCGGTCTGGACTATCCAATTTTT